ATTATTATATTTTATGTTGTTGTGTTACCGGACGTACTAGTATTTAATATATCTTTTGAATTTTTACCAGTAGTACAAAAATTTCAATTACAATTACAATCTKAGTTACTATAATTTATTTTATCGATTTACCTAACTTTCTGTCATTATTTTATTACCTAGTATACTATACACACACAAACACGTGTACACACCTTACGCATCACTTCACCAAATAGCTCACTAATATTTTGGTGAACTCAAACAATTCTAGCTGAACTATAYATCATAACACACAATTACCTAGGGTCATAGATGTGTGAGCTTTAGTGCTACGAAGTATTTTTATAACCAGGCATCACGGTCTATTATTGTTCGTTTCCGACCCGCACATAATCATTAAATTAATTTGTATACCTGTTGATCTAGAAGAATATTGATTTTTAGTATTACTCATTATTAATTATAAATAAAAGGGTACTAACGAATACGAAAGTGTTGATATTTAATTGGTAAATATTCAAAACTTTTATCTATACTTTATTTTTTTTTAGCAGGTAATAATAAGCCAATAATAAATTACTTCAGACGATGTGCAGAAAATATTATTTATGAAGTGACTTCTTCAGACTTCAAAAATGGATAATGAAAATAGTTTTATGGCATTGATTTATTTTTTGGCATTTATTCTATTGGTTTTATGTTATTATCGAATAATGCGCTGTTTTTCAAGTATGAACACTTACACCTATATATTTTAATTTTATTGTACCTACTTACATACCCAAATAATCAAAATTATTTTATGACCTGATATCATAATTTATACACAGCAAAGTCCCATTTTGATTCCGTTAAGTTTATTACATTTAGGAAATAAACGGGTAGCCATGAATTACAGTAAACTATGATAGTATGATTTCTATATATTCTAGAATAATTTGTTTACCAATCTGGAGTCATTGCACTATTTAAAGAGTTAGGAATATGGGTTAACAAAAAAATTATGATYATTTCGTTTTCTATTAATAAGAAATAAAGAAGTGGGCAAGTGGATGTCGCTCATCTGMTGTACAGTATAATTTACAATTTAGTTACTGACTTACTGTAATGAATGGTATTACATTTGAATTTATTGATAATATATCATTGTATCATATCATATCATTGTATACAAAAATTATTTTAAGCGGAGACGGTTTGTCAGTATAGGATATTTTATAGTTTTATGTTATATTAATTATATTGCTATCATTTCAAAAAATTTAAGTACCTACCTATAAAATAAATTCCAAATAATTAAAACAGATTCATTATGTACCCGACTCACTCGGTCATTCATAGTATATACACTATAAGTATTAACATAAGTCATTAGTGATATTAAATATTACTATTAAAATATAAAGTATACTCTAGAAATTTAAAGTACCCACGAAAAATATTTTCAAATATACAAAACCTCAGATTTAAAAACATGCATTTTTATGAATTTCTAACTCAAAATCAATTGAAATTTGTCATGATTTTTATGTATTTTGTCAAAATTTGAACTTTCAATTATTATTAAAAAAAAAATTAAAACCATGTATTTTAAATATTTTTTAAACACCATTGTAACAATATATTAGGATCCTGGCATTAAAATTGCAAACTTTTTTTTAAGTGTTTGAGTTGGATCCTTATTSTATTAAGTATTGAAGCAATTTTAAATGTCTATAAATAAAGATTTTAAATATTTTAAAATTGTATCGTGAAAAATAAAATGTCAGTATAAACATTCAGWAAAAATGTCATGTGTCTACAGTAATTTGTTTTAGAATTACGCCAATATCTAAAATCGATTTAAAAAAAATTGATTTTGCATAAAATTTCCCGTTTTTTCTTTTCTTATTTATTTTTTTTTCTCCGGTGCAATTGAAAACTACTAAGAATTTCAAAATTTGACCTCCCCGTGCACCAACTAGAATTACTTTCCAATCGGAAAAACTATTGAAGTTTAAAATCAAAACATTATTTGGAGAACTTATCGCGTGTACACAGACAACAAAAAAAAAAAACACACATCTTTGTAAAATTAATACATTCATCGATCCACTCAGAATCTAAAAAACATACGACTGTTTCGTTTGATAATCCACAGTTAAAGTTGTATCAGAAAAACTTTATAATATTATATAGGTAGTAGTTATTATTTATTCTCTGTTTATTAATAAGTAATAAGTAATAAACTAATAACAATAACTGATAATTTATTTTGTTTTAGAACCCAAAACATCAAATTATCTTAATGAGATTCAACTGGATGATAGATACTTAAATATGATCAACAGTGACCAACAACGTTGTTTACTTCCATTAAATATTTTAAATAGTTTGGAGTATGAAAATGTATATAATCCGTTGCATGAACAACCTCGACAGCAGTATAATGCTGCACCAACTTCTAGAATCAATATTTCTACAACACGAGCCACAATGTTACCGTTTTGTCCTATATTCAATTGTGTAGATCTTCATTCATCTAACGTAGGCTCATTTTCAAGATCTCCGTTAAATGGCYCACCGCCTTCATATGAAGAGTGCATGTTGAGTTCACGTACGACATCTCATATTATTAATTTACCAGTGAATTAGGAGAATATTAACCTATATCCATGGATACCTACGATATGTTATGAAGGAAATAAGATTTTTATACAACATTATCCGAATTCATAGTTGTATGCACAGAGGATTTGTAAATTTTATTTTAGATAAWGATATACCTATTACAAATAMTAAATTATAAATATTATTCATTTTATTAACCAATTATTGTATGATTTTTTTCTATTAAGAAATGGTCAATATTTTAATATTTTAAATGTTAAATGATTATATTATA